TAAAAATTCCATCCATACAAACAATATACTCCAGATTTGGCTAGAAAGAAAGTAGTATGTGATAAATACGTGTATGTGATCTAAAGTTAGTTGTACTATGTTATATTTTGATATGCTCCAAGAACCTAAACTTCTGTATACTTATATGTTCCCGTGCCAGGTAATAGTGGCAAATTAAATGATCAAATCATATGGAGTACATAATAAATAAATTAATGTGATGTATTGTGACAATTATAGTTTGTATAATTACTAGATAACATGCACGAAAATCGGGCACAAGACTTGTACTAATTTGATTGGAAATATATATCTTCATATCAAAATGGTTTTTTGAAGCTACTAGGTGCCGTGTGGCAATTATTACAATATTTGATACTCTAAAAGAAAAGACCAAACTGGATTATTAATTGACAGATGGCTTGCAATCCTTGCACGCTTTCAGGGGCGCCGGATTCACCTGATCTTCAGATTGATCCCCATGAGCCTGAACGAGCAACTTGGGAGGATCCACTCTAATCTTGACATCAGTGAGTTTATCTGCGTCTGTCTCCTGTGATCAGCAAACAAGGGAAATGATTATATTGGAGGTCGGAAAAAAAAGAGGTACGGATCATGATGCATGAATAAAATTGGAAAAAAGAAACCCAAGAATCGTTTTGATCCGATTCATCATCTATTATTTTCTGCGCATTTTGGAGGTATTCATTCTCATCTTGCAAGCCATAGTGATTGACAAAAGCCACCCAAGCATTTTCAAACTCCTGTGCTGTGCATCCTTTATCAAGGACAGAGGGCATCCAATACTTTGCAAAATCCTGTGATGTGTGTGCTTGACCAACCTTGTCGACGTTTGATCTTACAATTCTAGTATTTGCATAGTATGGGCATCGTCGGTGCTAGGATATACGCGAGACTGAGGTAAAAGAGATGGAGACGAGGATTTTTATACAGATTCGGGCCCCTGAACTGTCAGGTAATAACCCTACATCCTGTTGGCCGGAGCCGGAGTTACTTTTATTCACCATAATCACACCAGTACAATATGTGAGGTAGCCTATCTAACTGTTGTCGACATGGCGGTCTGAAGATTTGTCTCGTAGTCGACAACAGGGTAACCTTGCTCCTCGAGCTCGCGCCCGACGAAATCAGAGACAGTGTTAGATCCCTACGGCCGGACTCTGAATGTACTGGATAGGGTTGATCCAGGCGTATCTCTGATGTCGATATCCGGCGGCTTGTCTTGGCGTATGTTGGCTTGTATGCTGTGGCTTCTGTTGTTCCGTATATTGTTGTAGGTGTGTTGATTGTGGTGGTCGTCGATTGTGTTGTCCGTGTCCCCTCTCCTCCTAGGGGGCCATATATTTATACCCATAGGTGTCCCCTTGTCCAAGTAGAACTAGAGAAACCAATATGGATACAATCCGAGTAGTCCTTGTCGTTTCCATGTAGAACTCTGGTTGTCTTTCTTTATCCGGAACTCCTCCTATATCCGCAGGTTGTTTCCGTATAGGACATGGTATGTGGTGGGTCCTGCCGAGATGTAGTCGACTACTATTAGGTATGTGGTATCCATAACCCTGACAATAGCCCCCGACTTCAATGCAAATGAACAAATTCATATTCTCGACCGCTCACTATAGAGTAACTGTTATCGAGCTCAAGTGACCGTTCTCGGTGAGTTCAGAGATAATGTTAGACTTCCTTTGTCAGCCTCGTGCGGGCACCTAAAGGGTTTGTTTGAGTCAATCTCCGACGTCAACCAAGAAAGTACATAGCGTACGACTAAGTCTCCCATCTTGCTGTAATCGAGAATTTGGATTAAAGTCAAGAAATTTTATCTCGGCGGGTACACCATCTCTTCATTCCGTATTCCTTGTCGAGATCCAGCAACCGTTCTCGAGCGATCGAGAAGGCGTAGAGTCTGCGACGGAACCTTGTCAACATTGGTCGTACTCGCCTTAGTCGATCTTGGTGTAGAACCATAGAGACATGGAGCCTTCGTCAATGTCGAATAGGATTTTCCTGAAATCAATACTCAGAAAAGAATATTAGATAGAAATAGCCCCCGAGCGAATGCCCAAAGGGTGACATGTTATAATATATATGGTAAATTGAAAATGAATTAAATTTATCAACCAATGTTTTGTGTATGAGCGTCTTCCCTCTTACCGACTTCGATCAGTCAGTTTGTAGAGTTATATACTCTCCCTAGCCCCCAGCCTTGTCGTCGGAGAATCGTTCTCGGAGGAGAAGGCTCTTGGACCTTTGACCTGCCTTGGTTGAACAAGCACTGATCCTAGCCCCCAGCCATGAAGTTGGAAAACTCAATTTCCGATTACACGACTTGGTTAATACGCACGGCGAGAACTCTTACACGACTAGATCTTACATGGTCTTTTGTCTCTACAGGATCCGACAAGGCCTTATCGGCTCTGGGCGTCCCCAGCCGAAGTTCCCTTAAGTTCCTCGGAGGCCTTGTCAAGACGGCGTAAAGGGACAGTAGGATAGGTTTCAACGCTAGGTGTCGTCATGGTAAGGGATCTCTGGGTAAAACATTTGGCGATAGTGTGTACCTGATATCAACTTTGTTGAAGTAGAGGTAGTAGGAGAATTGCTACACCGCTGGTCGAGGACCAGGTAGTAGTCGTAACTCGACCACTAGAAGTGGAAATAGTGGGAGAATCGCTACACCGCTGGTCGAGAACCAGGAAGTAGTCATAACTCGACCACTAGAAGTGGAAGTAGTGGGAGAAACGCTACATCGCTGGTCGAGGACCAGGAAGTAGTTGTAACTCGACCACTTAAAGTGGAAGTAGTGGGAGAAACGCTACATCGCTGGTCGAGGACCAGGAAGTAGTTGTAACTCGACCACTTAAAGTGGAAGTAGTGGGAGAAACGCTACATCGCTGGTCGAGGACCATGCAGTAGTCGTAACTCGACCACTTAAAGTGGAAGTAGGGGGAGAAACGCTACATCGCTGGTCGAGGACCAGGCAGTAGTCGTAACTCGACCACTTAAAGTGAAAGTAGTGGAAGAGACGCTACATCGCTGGTCGAGGACCAGGCAGTAGTCGTAACTCGACCACTTAAAGTGGAAGTAGTGGGAGAAATGCTACATCGCTGGTCGAGGAGCAGGCAGTAGTTGTAACTTGAACACTTAAAGTGAGGCGAGAGAGATCACTACGTTTTACTGGTTCGAGAACCAGGAGTAGGAGTCTTTTAATCACCTATAGGGGCGCTAAAGTTGGTTTATTACATGTGCATATCATGTGGCCAGCATGACTCACATACCCAACTTACAGCATATCCGGATGTCCGTTCGCAATCATGTCGGGTGATCAAGCCGACGGCGTTCGCGAGGAATTATCCGTTAACAACCTTTTCTCGAGTAGTCCAGCGATGGCCGGTGCTATGAGATAGGTCGTCGGTCTTCGTTGGCAGGTTGGGTGCGATAACTTCGCATTTGTCGAGAATGTTCTCGATAATGGAGTGTACTCGACCATAACCTAATCGAGTGCTCAGTTGTTCCTGAAAAATATTTTCTAGAAGGCAAGATATATAGCAGATAATATCGAGTATGTACTCAAAAAACTGCATGGATCTTCTAGTATTATCAGGATATAATGAGTAGATTAAATATCAGGCATTATGTAAACCGTAAACAAACATGATTCATACAGAAGAGAACAAAGTGAGGCCCCAGCGTTAGACCGTAGTCAGTTTAACGTCGGAAACACTCACGCGATAGATATTGTATAAAAAACATGCTCTAGGTAAACATAGTAAATTGTAGATCTGACAATGCTGTATGATCTGAATAGGTACGATAAATTCATATAGAATATTGCGTACCTTTGTAGATATATGCCGGATATATCTACGAAATTAGTAGATCAATTAAATTAATTAATCTACTAATTACCTTGTTTGTCATGCCGTGCGTCCTTAGTAGAGATTCCATGCATGCGGTAGATTAGGACGTGGATTAATATATCACCAGGATCATGCTGACTGTGTACGGGTTGGACACGGTGCCGAGTTCGGCCTGGATTGGCCGCACCAGCCGATGTCGCGGGCGGAGGGCCTGATCAGTAGCTCAAACCGATCCCACATGCCGTCATCATTGGGTTGACTCTCCACGGCGACGATTTCCTGAAGCTTGGTCGATCTTATGAGATCGAATTGTTGATGATGATGATTTCGATCTCATCGAGGGACATACTCCGGTCGGGTTAGATCTCCTATAGCCGAAGTTGTCGAGTAGTATGTTGTCGGAGAATCCATCTCTTGAACCCATCTCGTCGAAATCCTGAAGCACCAAAATCCCCCTACCTGGCGCGCCACTGTCGACGTTTGATGTCGCAATTCTGGTATTTGCATAGTATGGGGATCGTCGGTGCTAGGATATACGCGAGACTGAGGTAAAAGAGATGGAGACGAGGATTTTTATACAGGTTCGGGCCCCTGAAGTGTCAGGTAATAACCCTACATCCTGTTGGCCGGAGCCGGAGTTGCTTTTATTCACCATAATCACACCAGTACTATATGTGGGTAGCCTATCTAACTGTTGTCGACATGGCGGTTTGAAGGTCTGACTCGTAGTCGACAACAGGGTAACCTTGCTCCTCGAGCTCGCGCCCGACGAAATCAGAGACAGTGCTAGATCCCTACGGACGGCCTCTGAAGGTACCGGATAGAGTTGATCCAGGCGTATCTCTGATGTCGATATCCGGCGGCTTGTCTTGGCGTATGTTGGCTTGTATGCTGTGGCTTCTGTTGTTCCGTATATTGTGGTAGGTGTGTTGATTGTGGTGGTCGTCGATTGTGTTGTCCGTGTCCCCTCTCCTCCTAGGGGGTCTTGTATTTATACTCATAGGTGTCTCCTTGTCCAAGTAGAATTAGGGTAACCAATATGGATACAATCTAAGTAGTTCTTGTCGTTTCCATGTAGAACTCGGGTTGTCTTTCCTTATCCGGAACTCCTCCTATATCCGCAGGTTGTTTTCGTATAGGACATGGTATGTGGTGGGTCCTGCCGAGATGTAGTCGACTACTATTAGGTATGTGGTATCCATAACCCTGACAATTATTAATTGACAGATGGCTTGCAATCCTTGCACGCTTTCAGGGGCGCCGGATTCACCTGATCTTCAGATTGATCCCCATGAGCCTGAACGAGCAACTTGGGAGGATCCACTCTAATCTTGACATCAGTGAGTTTATCTGCGTCTGTCTCCTGTGATCAGCAAACAAGGGAAATGATTATATTGGAGGTCGGAAAAAAAAAAGAGGTACGGATCATGATGCATGAATAAAATTGGAAAAAAAAAAAACCCAAGAATCGTTTTGATCCGATTCATCATCTATTATTTTCTGCGCATTTTGGAGGTATTCATTCTCATCTTGCAAGCCATAGTGATTGACAAAAGCCACCCAAGCATTTTCAAACTCCTGTGCTGTGCATCCTTTATCAAGGACAGAGGGCATCCAATACTTTGCAAAATCCTGTGATGTGTGTGCTTGACCAACCTTGAGTTCATCTGATCGCATGTACGCAGAGTGCACATTTGCTTGGACTGAACTGAAAGTGTGCCAACGACAACGTTCGTCGCTATACTTCCACAATCCCTGCTTGATCTCCTGGCTTCGAGCTGCAGTGTTCATCTTGTCCATATGATCTGTCTGCATGAACATAAATAGAGGAATATATTGAGTAGTACCCCAGTAGCGTTGAACACATATCAGAAAAACATGGATAGATGGAGCACATACCTGAACGTCGTCGCCGATAAGATTCAACAGTAGGAACTGAAAAGCCGAAATTCTTGTTGGTGACAAAAACCAGAGGATAGAACGTATGAGAAGAACAAAGTCATCCGGCCCTGATATTTATTGTCACCTGTAGTGGCGGCCTTGAGTTGGTAGGGCGGCAAAAATTGAAAGGAATCACCATGTATAAAGATTGTATTTATGGATATAGATACAGCTATGAAAGTGGTACCTTTCAGAATATCATTTCTTACCATTTATATGAATATCTCCATTAAGACCTGGATACTGATTGCATAAATCAGTATACAGCTGGTGATTTTGTTTCGTAAATCACATATACATCTGATGGACAATAAAAGAGAATGAAATCCATTTCGATCTATTTCATGCCAATTTATTATTCTACTCCAATAACAAAATTCGAATGTTGCACATATACCTGACGTATCAGTATGATACCATGGGATGAATACCTACTGTCTCAGCCATACTATTTGTTACCTTGTTCCTTTGTTAGCTTGGGGTTATAACATGATTAGATGTTGGGTTAGGGATTGCTTAGCCATGCTTAGCTCAACTAGCACATAATAGGGGAACTACATTAATGCATAGATTTCAGATTCTAGATTGGTGTTGGACTATAACCACCGCTCTGGTGTTGGTTAACTAAAATATACTAAATGGTGCGCTGTGGGTGCATGGTTTTGATGGTCGCACCCATGGAAATTAAGGACCGGTTCGTGGGATGTCCTGGAAAAACTTACCATACTTACCACAAACCAGCATGGGCAACGGCTGGGCTTGTAGTGTAGCTTTCCTCTAGCTGACGCATCCAGGCAAGGGTGAGCGTGATGGAGTTCGGATGGGCCCTGCGATAGCCTGTGCGGCTTTCCGATTCACCTAGGCACGAGAGGGGACTGCCCGATGCCTTGCGAGGAGTGGGGGTGAAACCTGAGGTGTGGTGTGTTTGGTTAGAGGAGGTTATGCGAAGGGTCCTGTCACGGCCTCTTTCCGGTATGTTGTGGTGGCATGCCGGCGCACGGAAACATGTCGTGGGGCTGTGTCTTTTGGGTACAGTTGTCCATCTCTGATCAGAGTAAAACTATTCGAATAGCCGTGCCCGTGGTTATGGGCGGTCAACCAGATTCACCGTGATTAGTCTCACCCTAGCTTAGTCTAATGGAATTGATTAGTTCAGGTGGTTGGTTGGGCCTGTTGCAATGCGGTGTAGCGTTGGACAATGGATGGTTAATATTGATTAATTATTACAACTGTTTTACTATTTTCAACTACTGTTTATAAATGCTAGCTTTATGCAAATGATCCCCTTTAGCCTTCCTTTGGTTATATATTGCATCATACCCTCCGTTCCGGTATGACTTGTTGAGTACAGTGGGTAGTACTCAGTCTTGCTCTATCTCCCAACCCTCAGAGTTCGAGTATGCGTTAGTGGTGGTTTCTCAGAGGAGTAGGCTTCGTCCGTGCCGTCGAGGATGCCTATGGAGTGGTGTTCCCGCTGCAATCCAAGTCAAGGCTTAGCTCCAGTTATCTTTAATTTTCCGCTTTATTTATGTAAGACTTTTATTATGTTTGTAAGACGTGGATCTGTATGTCAACTTTGTTGTTTGTGTACCTTGGCCGGTCCTGGACAGGGGTTATAATGCACATTCTGCTTGGAATTCTATTCGAGAATTTCTGGGCGTGACAAGTTGGTATCAGAGCCGACCTTGGCCGTAGGACAAGCCAAATAGAAACCCTAAGAGCCCCCTGAAGCCTTTTCATTTGCATATGTTCTTTGCAAATTGTATTTGTTTCGGGAAAAATTTGGGTTTGTTCCTTGGGTCCATGGGAAAAATCTTGATCGCTCCTTCAATTGAAATTTGTTCAAATGAGGTCAGTCTAGGGTTTTAGTAAAATTATTTGAGAATTATTTGACAGTCAGTCGGGATTTAATGGGAGGTATGCATTAGGTCTTCACTAAGGAACATGGGTTGCAAGTTATTTATGCTCTTATTATCATTGTTATTATTATTACGTATCTAATTCCTCATTATCTTATTGTAATGTATGTCAGTCTTATTTATTCGCTCTCATGCAAAAATGATCTATGCACAAAATTCTGCTCTTATTCGCTTACTTTATTTCAGTCCTTTACTGTTTATTTTATAATTGGATTTGATCATACATTGATTCTCCATCCTTTGTCTTCTATAGATGGCCGACTGTCCCCTAAAGCACCAAGGTCAGACTATGGGAGACTTCGTTGCAGAGTTGTCCCGCATGGCGTTTGTGATTGGTTTTCCAAGGGAGCTGCAGTACACCAGCATCCACCCTCTTAGTGGCGAGTTCCCACGTCAGGTCCGCTTGGAGATTCACGGCATACACTCCTACCTGCACAACATGGAGGTGACAGCTTGTGGGGGCACATTTGAGCATGCTTGTGAGGAGGCCTCCCTCAAGATGATGGCCCATTTGAGGGAGCGGCATGACGGCACCCTGAACACCACCGCCTACCGCTTCCACCCTCGCCGCGGTTCCAGCTCCAACACCAGCACCTTCAAGTCAGCTTGGGGAGAGAACGACGTCACCTTCGGCCACATGAGTGAGGTGATGGAGGGCTACGACAAGCTGCACGCCATGCTCCACAAGGCAACCAAGAGGCTCAACGACCAGAAGCTTGTGAGGATCGCTGAGTTGCAGGATGAGAACGGTCGCCTCAAGAAGGAGGTAGCCAGGCTGCACGGATGCTCACCGCCAGGAGGAGCCCGCATCCGCACCATGCCAAGGAAGTCGACCATAGCTCCAGTGCGCATTCAGCTTGCGCCCAGGAACCCGCCACCACCTCCACCTCCAGCACCTCCCGCAGCTCCGGCGCCAGCTCCAGCTCCTGCTCCCGTGCCAGCTCCAGCATCCGCCCTCTCCTTCGTGCCAGCTTCAGCCTACAGGGGTCCAGCAGGTGGCAGTGGAGGATGGCTGCCAGCTTCTCCCAGTGGTGGTCGTGTGATCATCAGCAGTTCCAGCTCTGAGGCAGGCAGCGGCGACACCTACCAGCTATATATGCTGATTTTCTTTCTACAGAAGTATATACTGGACTCTGTATGTACTGCTTTTTTCTATGGAGTGCTAATATGCTGAATTTTTCTATGGTCGGGTATATACTGAACTTTGTTACACAAAAGTATATACTGCATTTTCCATAGATATGCTAGATTTTTTCAATAGAGCGGCACATACTGTCTTTTCTAACAACGAAAGAGTAGTAACATACTTAAAAAAAAAGAATAGTATGTATCCCCCCCCAAAAAAAAAAAAGAAAAGAACAGTATATACTCCGACAAAAAAAATCAGTATACACTACAAATTTAGAAAAATGGTATATACTATAAATCTAGAACAAGTGGTCTCTCCTAATACTCTAGAAATAACGGTATATATATACTACTAGTTTCTGCCTCTCTGCTTTCCATCTCGTATTACATGTATTGATGCGTCAAATATTTTCTTATTGATGTTGATCTAATATTTTAATATTTTCGTGTAGAACGGTCGCCATTAATTTGGAGTGAGGAAATTCAAACAAAGTACTGTGTTGAACGCCTTGAAACAGAGGAATAGGAAGGTTTGCTTGTTCTGATCAACTAGTAATGCCGAGGGAGATCGAGGTGTGACACCGTCGCCGTCCGCCAGGGAATGTCATGGGAGAGTGCGGCGAGATGTCGCCCACCTGCGCAAGGGATGGGAACGCTGCCGATGAGATTTAGTCGTCGGCGTCGGCGCCGCCGCCTGGACACTAGGGTTTTTATTTTCTACTATTTCCTTTTGATATCGGGAATGATGGATTTGTGCGATCCGTTCGGTATGGACGAGTCCATTTATTCAGGATAATTAACAATTACGGAAATTATTTCTTTCCACAAAAACCGGAACGGGTTCGTGATGCTGCGCCTGTTAGCAGGTATGGGGATACTCATCATGCAGGTTGGGATCAACGGTGGATGAGAGTAGGAGTACGTACACCTGGGAGTATAGAAGCATTTTTTTTGAAACATATATATGCATAATATATATAAACTATTGTTGACGGTCATTAGCGATCAGTTTCGACTGTCAATATTACTGAGATAGAGGAGAACTAGTTATGCTTGCATTGCATATCCATGTTAGAACAATAATATTCCACTAGTATTTGGTTCACTAACCTTTTACAGAGAATAATCATAAAGTGGAAGAGAATCGACATCGAATCAGACGATAAATCAATCGGACGATGTCGAGAATCAGACTTGTATGAATTGGCCAAGAACTCAGAATTGACACGATGAATTAGGCCAAAATTCACAAGTTTGCAATGAGCAACAGAACAGGAGGCCACCTGCCGAGTTTGGGCCAGGTGGGCCCAGCCCATGGTTTGGCCGAACCTGCCATGGTGCCGATGGATGCAGGGTTTGATGGACGGCTGGGATTGATCCCCAATGTCGGTTGGAGGGTATTACCGACCATTCCAACCGTCATAATCGTCATTACCTGCCTATAAAATGAGCTCACTCTCTTCACTTCAACATACACCTCAAGCAAGAGCTCTCTCGTATTCTCTCAAGTTAGTTTAGTGTTCTTAAGCTAGTGGAATAGGAATAAAGTAGAAATCGGAGTCCGGAAGCCTTCGGAAGAGTTCGGGTATGGCTCTAGTAGCTCTTCTCTTCTCTTTTGTAAGTTTTTTACTTTTATTAGAATACTCTTATTTATACAATTATGGTATTTGTCAGGGTTGTGGATACCACATACCTAATAGTAGTTGACTAAATCTCGGCAGGACCCACCACATACCATGTCTTATATGGAAACTGACCTCGGATATGGAGGGAGTTCCGGATAAGGAAAGACAACTAGAGTTCTACATGTAAACGTCAAGGACTACTCGGATTGTATCCATATTGGTTTTCTTAGTTCTACTTGGACATGGGGACACCTATGGGTATAAATATAAGGCCCCCTAGGAGGAGAGGACACGGAACAATAGATCAAGACACAAGATCAACATACAAGCCAACATGCGCCAAGACAAGACGCCGGATATTGACTTCAAAGATAAGCATGGCTAGTCCCCTACGGTATCTACGGATACTGTCAGGAGAGACATAGCGCTGTCTTTGATCTCGCCGGATGCGGATTCGAGGAGGAAGGCTACCCTGTTGTCGACTACGAGTCAGCACTTCAGATCGCCAAGTCGACAACAGTTAGATAGGCTACCTCAAATATTATACTGGTGTGATTATGGTGCATAAGAGCAACGACCGGCTTCAGCCAACCGGAGTAGGGTTATTACCTGACAATTCAGGGGCCCGAACCTGTATAAAATCCTCGCCCCCATCTCTTTTACCTCAATCTCGCATATATCCTAGTACCAATGATCCCCATACTATGCAAATACCGTAGTCGTGACATCAAACGTCGACAGTATTGAAATACTTTCCGAGTATATGAATGCGAATTTTACATTATGTTCGTGTTATATTGAATATACTGCTAGCTTATCTGGGAGATGCGTTGGTACGGGTATAATGTTTGGTTATGCAATTACTCTATGTCATGAAGATGATATTAGAGTAGTATCTAGTAGTTTAGGCGTGGTGTCTAGATTACGGGATATTATTATTTACGGTTATATGCTGCGGATGAGAGGTGGGCCGATGATAGTGATAGCTCAGTACGGGTATTCCTCCGCGTGTATATATAGTCCTAAGTTAATTTCCCGGGGAGGGTACTACTCCGCATTTAGCCCCGGTTGTATGGTCATGACGGGCTGTCGTAAGGAACTCGGCAGTCAGGGGTGGCTTCTCGAAGTACCAGGAGGGCATCGGATAGGGGGTATTAGCTACTATATCAGATAACTAGGATGTATATATACTATGTATATTTGAAGTATAGGAATAGATTCTCTTTCTGTTTTCTTCCCACTTAGCTTAAATATTTTAGTATGAGAATGAGTAGCTCCTTGCTTGTGTGTCACTCTACCCTTTGGATTTTCTTAACCCCTGCATAGACTATGATTATTACAAGTAACATATAAATTATTAGTCAGGTTCTCTCTACTATGATTTTTCCATGGGATTAAATAAATACGATACCCTTGGAATACTCTCGGGTGAAATGCTACAATGATATATCTGTGTGCTTGCGGATAAACTCTGTAACCATAATATACCAAGAGTATTTTTGCGCCATTGCTAGGAATTATATTTCTAGTAATGTCGTTAAGAAATACCAACAACAATGCAGCAACATGGCCATGGAAATAAAAAAAAAAGAATCGATCTTTAGTCCCGGTTGGTGTTACCAACCGGGACTAAAGATGGCTCAACCGGCCACGTGGTTGAGCGATCTTTAGTCCCGGACTAAAGATCGATCTTTACTTCCGGTTTTTTCACCTCGGACTAAAGATAGCGATATTTAGTTCCGGATTGGTGATCCCAGTTGGAAAACCGGGACTACATGGGTTACAAACCGGGACTAAAGACGGTTTCTTCACCAGTGTAGTGGCCAGATTTATATCCATTATCTGAAAAAAACACACGTGCATTTTTCTCAACCGCAAAAACCCATGTAGTTTCCAGTTTCCTCGTACTCTCTCCCGGCAATAATTGGTGACTGCTTCCACTTTTAGCTATTTCCTGTTCACGGTTCCCCACATCTTTTGCTAGCATGCCCCTACCCATTCATATTGAAGCTCATAGAATAGCCCATTGCCAGAGATGAGGACCAGATGAGGAACCAACAATTACCATTTAAAACTCCATAAAATACAAAAAGGGAAGGGATAGTACGTACTTTGCTGAAGAGATGGCAGCTCCTTTGTTGTTATCAACAATCATTTTGGCTCTAGTGGTGGTAGCATCCTCTACTCATGGTACCATGGCCAATGGGGTATTCCAGGTGCGCCGCAAATTCCATATCGTGGACGGTGTGTACAAGGGGAGCGACATAGGTGCATTACAAACCCATGATGAGAACCGCCATCGTCGCCGTAACCTTATGGCTGCAGAGCTCCCACTTGGTGGCTTCAACATCCCATACGGCACTGGGTATGCTTCAATCATCTCTGCATTTGGTCATGTCTGTGTTTGCTTGGTTGGTTGGTTTGGTTATTAGGGTTAAAAAATGGATCTTGGCATAGGCTATACTACACGGATATAGGGATCGGGACACCCGCCGTGAAGTACTATGTGCAGTTGGACACCGGTAGTAAGGCATTTTGGGTTAATGGCATCTCCTGCAAGCAATGCCCTCACGAGAGCGACATATTGGTAGGTTTCCTTGTAGTGTTTCTTTAGTTTCAGTCCCTTAATTTGCTTGCAAAATTCTTTTGCAATTTAGGGTTTTTATTCATTATAGAAGTTGAAATTCTGGATTGTAATATGTTTTTGTTTTTGTCGTGGGTACGTGTATTTGCTTGTGTGCAGAGAAAGCTGACATTTTATGACCCTAGGAGCTCAGTAAGTTCAAAAGAGGTGAAATGTGACGATACAATATGCACTTCGCGACCACCATGCAACATGACCTTACGTTGTCCGTACATCACGGGGTACGCTGATGGTGGCTTAACAATGGGCATCCTTTTCACTGATCTTCTGCACTATCATCAACTGTATGGGAATGGGCAGACTCAGCCAACCAGCACCAGTGTCACATTTGGGTGAGTTATTAAAGAAAGAGCACTGCTACACGTACTATGTTTTTCTTACTAAATTTTTACTAACAATCATCTCAACTGTTTGATTTTGCTAAATGGAAGTTATAAAAAATCTAGATACACTCATAGCATGACATATCAATGTATTACAATTCGTATGTGAAATTTATTGATTTACAACTGAAGTGATCTATTGTAAAATGCCATTGATAAGCAATAGTTCAACAATATGTTTTCCATACGTGCAATACTCTTTCTTTTTTACCATCACATCATGGTTAACCTCAAATTCTGTCTCTAGTTTTTACAAAATGACCAAAATATCATTGAGAACACACATATACCCTTGACAGACTTCTTTTATTTTTTACAGTGACCAAAACACCTTTGATAACTCTGTTAAACCCTCGACAGACTTTCGCGAGTGCCTGTTGCAGTTTATGGTGAAATGAACTTTCCATTAGAGGACAACAAAGGCCCCTTAATGGTTAGTTCACAGCAATGGAGAAAAGGTAGAAAAATAACATGTATGATGGCATAACATATAACTCATATTTATAAAATCGAAACACAATAACCAAATCTACCAGAGAGTTGTGAATGGTACGAACACCAAAAACCAAAATGGAATAAAAATAATCCTCTAACCTTACAGAGTCCACGATGAAGTCTGGTGTGCACCGGTCTGACCGCTCTGATGCTGTCGGTCTGACCGGTGTAGAGTCGCCGGTCCAATAGCCTTGCTTCTCCCTTTGCCTGACACTGCTGGTCCAACCATCTAGAAGTCACCTGTGTGACCACTGTGCCGCCGCCGGTCAGACCTCAAGGATGCTACCAGTCTAACTACCGAAACAAAGTAAAATACAAATCAAAGAACTCTTTAGAAGTAAATCAACTTTATTGTTTCTAATTGTGCTCACAAAGTGTAACAATAACACTCATTTCTCAACTTTTGACTATACTCAAAATTTAGGCTAAACCCTTTTTTTTTTCAAAACTGTTATCTCACAGAATGGTACCAAGAGGCTCAACCCCTCTTTTATTTATACCTTGAAGTGGCTGCACAAAGCCACGAATTCAACTTGGATAAGTAGTTCTAATCTCATAGAAAACCTACCCGAACAAGTATACAACTTATCGCTTTACAAATCAAACTCCAATCTTTTCAAATTTGGATTCCTTCCAAATTTGAGTCATATTTGTTGATGGCATTTCATAGAGTCGAGTGGCTGCATGTTGATGGCATTTTATAGAGTCGAGCACTTGCATGCTGATGGCACTTACAATGTTCCTTTTCATACCAAAGGCATTCCATTGCACAAGTACACAGTAGGCAATCACTGCCGGTCTAACGGTTGCTATAGGCTAGCAGTGATTAACTATATATAATGCCGGTTCATGCTGGCTTGGATATTTTTTTCCCTACCAACCCATGTGTATGGGCTATGATAGACCTAGCATCTCTGTCGGTTCAGCAACTGGTAGTGATAGGTGAGGCCACCACTGCTGGATGACCTCATCTAGTTCAAAAACTGATAGTGATGCATTAGTTATGAATCGATGGTGATCGGAGTTTCCGTACTGGTATTGTTTTATTAAATCTGAAGCATTATTTTACTGCATCACATGGCAACAATTAAACCATACATATATTTTTTGTTCACTATTGTCTATAAGGTGGGTATGCTGTATTGATTGTCTTTTATTGTAGATATTCTTTTTGAGAAGCCATGCTATATAAGTTTGCCCACTTAGGACCTGCTTGAAATTGATTATTGACTGTATTTTTTTCATGGATTATCTGCTTTGATTATATGGATAGACAAAATATTTTCAGAAATATATTCAACAGATAGCTTAGAACAAGTGGTCCAATAAGTATACATGCAATAGAAGAATGTTCAATTTTAGAGGCGTTGAGCAAATCCATGGCTATAATCCAGCGAAGTAGCAGAAGAGACATGGCATAAGTTAATGCTCCTGTGGGGGGCTACCATTGGATGTTGCATCACACAACACACTAGTTCTTTTTCATATGAATGGTATTTTATTGCACTAGCACACATGAGCTAATCACTACCACCCATCACTACTGGTTGCCATGCATAGTGCCAACAATTATTGACTATTAATGCCATTTCATGCCAGCCGGGTTGGGCATTTACCAAATCTATGTGAATTCACTATGATAGCCTGAGCATCGCTGTCGGTTCGGCCACCGGTAGTGATAGCCGAGATCACTAGTGTCGGCTGGCCTCTGCTGGTTTAGAAATTAGCGTAGATGCCGGTGATGGGTTTTGTGTAAGTATTTTTATTTGCTTTTCATGTAAATCTCTGATGAACTCATCACATGACAATAACCGGTTATGGCGGTTATAGGTATATTTTGATATTTTCTATGCCTTGTTCTCCATAAGGTGGGCAGGCTGTATTAATTGTGTTTTATTATAGCTGTGCTATCTAAGAAGGTGTGCTATATATGTTGGCCCACTAAGGCCATGTTTGAAACAAATTATTACTAGTTTATTTTTGTGGATTACCTACTTGAGAAACAATCTTAACAAATGGCTTGGAAAGTAATCTAACCTATGCAGTAGAAGAATATTTTTTAGCAAACATATTTTTAGGGACGTGGAGAAAATCCGTGACAATAATTCGATGAAATGGCTCCCCTGTGCTTCTAGGTGTGGTTTACAACAATCTGGAAGTTTAAACAATTCAGCAGTAGCGATTGATGGAATTATTGGTTTTGGCAATTCTAATCAGACTGCGCTATCACAATTGGCTGCAGCAGGGAAGACAAAGAAAATATTTTCTCATTGCCTTGATTCCACAAATGGAGGTGGAATTTTCGCTATAGGAGAAGTGGTGGAGCCAAAAGTAAAAACAACACCTATAGTAAAGAATAAGTGAGTTAACCATGCACTTTATTATGTTTCTTTTATGGTCACAATTTAATTTGGCTCTACTTTAAATACATATATTTTTACCTTGGTTATAGCATCTTCCGGTATACTTGTTTAAGAAGCATTTATCAACCCCCCTAAAATAAGATGCATTTATCCACTTAAACATGAACTGTGTCAAGTGGTACATCTCTGGTACAAACGTTGTGAAAAAAATGTATGTGTTGTTGTTCTTGAGTGTTCTTATTAGGCACAATGTTTCAAAGTTTTGAATGCACATAGCTATGTGAAAATTTATGTTGGCTGTCTTCAACATGGACTGAAGGGTGCTCTTAGGCTGGAATCGCTAGAACCTTAAACTATAATTTTTAAAAAAGCTATTTATATACTTTAGTACATGATCTTGGCTCTCCACCAGTCCCTGTTGGATGTTAGGTTTATGACAAGTAGGGATATATGCATATAATATCAATTTGTATTGTAGTGCACGTATGCCTTCTTACATGTTGTAACCTTTTGAGAATACATGTCTTTCTGCGTGTAATCCAGACTCGTGGTTCCAACACAAAGACCATAACCAACCTTGTTTGGTTCTATTCTCGTTTCCACCAAACTAATGCTATTGTATCCATTTTGAATCTGTATAATAATCACTGGACCCAAAGCATGGATTTACAAATTTGAGGGAATATGCATAGTTTTTTATAGAAATACTTATCATGTTTATCTGCATCTTCTGAAAATTAAAAGCAACAAGGCATTTGGAACTTTTGAGCCCACTCACACACCACGCACACTAACTCACATCAATTCACGATTCTATCACATAGTGAGGTATATCACCTTGTGAACCTCAAGTCGATCAATGTTGCTGGCACAACACTTCAGCTTCCTGCCAATATTTTTGGAACGACCAAAACAAAGGGTACATTCATTGATAGCGGTTCAACCTTGGTGTACCTTCCAGAGATTATATATTCAGAACTAATACTTGCGGTATGGCAAAAGTACTGCTATTCTTTTCTAGTGGTAGAATTGTTTGCAATTACGTTTACATATAACTCTCAACCAATTGCAGGTATTTGCCAAGCATCCGGACATAACCATGGGTGCTATGTATAATTTTCAATGTTTTCATTTTCTTGGAAGGTATACTCTATAACACAAAATCTAGCTATAGTGCAGAGACATTACATTCACCAATGGACTAAATACCAGAAGATTCATAGGATTCATATTGAGTTCTAATTCAATCTTTTCAATGCCTCTGAATTCCGCTTTATCCATCAAATAACCCCAATTTGTTGGTACTCCGCTAACATTACCCTTGTTTTAATACCCAAGTACCCTATACATTTGTTGATTGTGAGGAAAACCAGTAATTCTCTAACAATTCCCATTGGGTCATAACCTAATAAAGAACGCTGCCTACTCAAACCGAAGCTTTGTTATGGACAATTTTAAGTCTTGAATAATACTCTAAATGGGTGAAGTTGCCCAAATTACCAAAACCTTAGAGTAAAAATAAAAATAAAAGAAACTTTTGCTTTTCTATATGAGTTTCAGACAAAATATAAGGTACGATGGAGAAGCAGTAGTGGAAATTGTTTTCATTATACTATTTACTCGGTAAAAGACACATAAACTGCTATTTCATCTGCTACAGCAGCAAAACATATGTCAAAAGTGCAGTAAGGGTTTATTTAGAGGATTTCCTATTTCTTTTCGGATTACTTAGACTGCTCCATAGTTCTGAGGGATGGGGTATATTATATGCAACTTAGTCTTCAGATGGTAGAATATAATTATTCCATTTTACTTTGTGATTATTCTAACTATGTTGTTGTTTTCTTGTGCAGTGTTGATGATAAATTTCCAAAGATAACTTTCCATTTTGAGAATGATCTTACCCTGGACGTGTATCCATATGATTACCTTCTTGAATATGAGGTAACATGACATTTCACCCCCATGCTCTACCAAAGTTGGTATAAAAATTTGTTCACAAATTGGTATTGCCTTGTCTTATTACTTCTGACAACTTAACACTTCAAACTTGTCACGGCCAGAAAATACCTTTTCCGAATGCTAGTGTATTAATCCCCGTCGTAGGAAAATCCGGGGACACCACAACAGACTTGATACAAAAGACACATCTTTATTAATTATCACGATGATATTTATATTATTACATAGGCACATTAGGCCTATCAACAAAAGAAAAACAACAGCGGACTAGAGGACCTATGACTCCATCTTCACAAGCGCTCAACAGTGCTATAAGCTAGGACTCCACTTAAGACTTCTTCAAAGCTTCTCCGATTAGAGGATAAAAGATTAAGAATGAGTACAACCACCATACTTAGCAAGCCACACCAAGAAATGCACACATAATGCAAATGGGTACAAGCAATAATGATACATGTTGACTTTTGCTTAAAACCCATTTTTAAATAGTTTAGTTTTAAAACACATTTCAAAGCATGATCCTAATCTAGTCAATTTTTTTAGTCAAGCTGCACACTTGCACGTACTTGCGTTAACCCAGGCCATCAAATTGCAGTTCCAATCATTCCAGTTTAACTAAATAAAATCTCTAACTTGGGAACATTGCTAGGCTTGCCCATAACCGAGGGCTTGGCTATTCGAATAGATGATATTCTGATCATCCATGTCCTTTTGTTTCTGACCATATTAAGCTATGAGTTAAGCCTTGCCCACTAGACATGTGGTTGTAAGGAATATGCATTGTAACATAGGCCCGGGGACCAATCCTTATATATGATGGCCAAGGTGCGACTAACAGAACCAAGCACATTGAGCCCAACCTAAAACAAGTTTGAGAATTATGAAAAGAAGTCCAACATGTCCAGGCTAACAAGCCTCTAATCCACCATTAATCAAGATTATATGGTTATTCCCAAAGTCCAGATCATTAGAAAATAACTATATGTTTATGTTAGGGCATTGTTAAGCATAATCCTAAAATCTCTAGTAAACACCGCACATAGAGTTCTCACTAGATAGTTTTGGTTTTCTAGGGTTGTCAAAGGTAATTACTCAATATTCAATAAATAAGGCCATAACAAAGAATATAGGAAAGGCTAAGTAAAACAGTTATAACGCGATAAATTTAGTAAAGCGAATGCAAAAATTTAAATTAAAATACTTTCCGTAAATTGGGATTCAATAAGGAGAGCGTGACTTCCCTTGCTCAACGGAACAAACTTCCGAGACTTCAGCAACGAACATGAACTGCACGACTGGAATCTCCAAAATGACAACAACTATAGGTGACCCAAAACAAAGCCACAACTCTAAGAGAGAAATGATAACAAGACATAAAAACAACATACATGGGTAATTTAAGTTATAACAAAAGTTCAACTGGTCAATTTGGAGCTCATTTGGCCAAGAGAAGACAATCCAAAATTTAACTGTAGTTTAAATGAAGATTTCTGAATTGTTTAATTATTATTGTTCCCATAAATTATGTGTAACACAACATCGCTCGAGGAGAGAAAGGATCGAGCGACTAACAGCCAGGACCAACGGGTCAGACGGCTAGTTCACCGTGGATCAGGTTCACCGAGACGATGCACGGGAATAGAGCACCTACATGTAAGCCTCAAAGAAAAGACTGAAGAGTGGATCCCACATGATGCCAAACAAGCAGTCACGTGCGTCTAAACGCAGCTACACTTTACGTCAAAAAAATGCAGCTACACGCGGATGGAGACGACAACTGGTGACTGCGGCACATGACTGGTAGTCACCTAAGGCAAGGAAAATAGGAGGGAAAGAGCGGAAACCGGATTCTCACCACAAACATGGCGACATCCAAAATAGCGAGGAGGGAATTGTTGGTGAGGAAGACAATGGCGAGCTTGAGCAGTGACGACGGCAACTGGTCAACGACGAGGGGACAATGGAGGGATTGGTGCTGCAGACTTGAGGGAGGCGGTGGTGAGTGGTGACGTCGGGAAGCACTTGGACGAGGAGGGGACAGCGGCCAGAGGAAGATAGTGGTGACGTCATTCGGGTTGATGGCGGGGGTGCGTTCCGATGGTCTTCACTTGATGAGAAGGCACGGTTGAGGAAGAGGACGATGAGGGAATCGAAGACCGACATTGAAGGTAGACAAGTTAACGCAGTGGGGTGGTGCTCTGGCAAGGCTGGAGGGACTGCCGAAGGAGGAAGAAGACGGCGTTCTTCTCTGATCACTAGCAAGGATGAACTTCCAGCGATCTCCAGGCAAAATGGTGGGGTTGCTGAGCTATAGGAGGTTAATGCGTGGCCAGGGGTGGCGGCGCCGAGGTCTTCCATACGTGGCTTGGGTGGGTCTACGGGAAAGGGTGGCAGGAGCTCGCCGGTGCAGTCGAGATGGCAGGAGAGCAAGAGAGCTCGAGGTGGCTGTGAAAATGGATCGAAGGGAGGAAGACAGCGCCATTTTATAGGCTGGGAGAGGAAGGAGGGGAACGGTCGTGAGAGGAGCCACAGGCCATTAACAGCGACTATGAATTGGGAGGTTTCAAATCTGCGATATAAAGCCAAATTAATAGGGGGGAAAATATGACAGAATTGGAGAGATGAAAGTAGGGAAATGATTTTTGCAATCAATTTGGAGGAGAGACGTCTGGGGAGGCGGATCAACCTCGGTGGCAGTGCTAGTGCTAGCTAGGGAGAGGGGAACTGAATTGGCGGGTTGGAGGTGGAAGACGACGACGCAACGACTTCCTGGGCTGGCTGAGCCGTGCCCACCTAGGCCGAGCAAGGTAGACCCGGGAGAAGGAGGGGACTTTGCTCATGAGCCAACGGAGGAGGACAGGAAGCGGACTTTGGCTATAATCGGCCCAAAGAGAGGACATACTTGTTTTTAGGTTTTTTATTTTCATAAACTCTGAAATTTGTTTTGCTGCATATTTTAGGATGCTCTGAAAAAATCAAGGAAAAACTGAGGTGACATTTTAGAGCATGGAGAATTTAAGAAACATACTCTAAGCCACATTCAAACTTTTCTTGAACATGTTCTTGAACTTTTCTCAAACTATTATAGCTTTTAATTATTTCTATTATTCATTTTAGAATGTGATCTTTAATTTGGGATGAATTTATCAAGACATCACAAAAATGAAACATGAAACAATTATATGAAGCCAAAATAGTTCAAAGTCCAACCATGGATTTTATCCCATACATATTGCGGGCCACATCATGCGCTACATAGATATATGTGCTAGTCATATAATGGGTACCCATTAACAAACATTCGCTAAATTGAATATATATGTACTTCGTGTCATACTTTTTTTCTTCTTTGTACTGACAGAGTAACTTAGGCTCATCGTCATTGGCATTATAATGTAGAGAATTGTTTAATTAGTTACAAGAGAGATAAGAAATAATCTATATACATTAAATAGACGATGATATCTCCAAAAGTAACTGTACGGTTTTGAGTTTCACCTTCAGCTGTCAAATTTTAGTTCTTGTTTCGTACGTGAAGAGTCCCATTCTGAGATTCTCAATCAACTGACAGTTAGTTGTTTCAGTCATGCATGCTACTCTGTTTGGTATACATGCTTTTGTTTAATATTTTATAGTGCAAGTCTATAGATATATGTTCATCACACTTAGACTTGTTTGGAGCAGGGTAACCAGTATTGCTTTGGATTCCAAGATGCTGGAATACATGGATACAAGGATATGATCATTTTGGGAGGTTTGCATATATTGCTCTCCAAAAGAAAATTCCTTTTTCATATTTTTTTTTATGCTAGAGCCATTGCCCTGTTTTTTTTCAGACATGGTCATCTCAAATAAGGTGGTCGTCTATGACATGGAAAAGCAAGCCATTGGCTGGACAGAGCACAACTGTAAGTTTCAACTTGTTCAAATTTTATCGATAAATTGTTATATTCTGTTCTAACACCAGCGGTTGAGGAGGCATGTGGCGGTAGCGAGGGCCTCAGCCCAATAGGAAGGATGCATGGAGGCTTGTAGATGGAGGCACAGAATAAAGTCATTGGCTAGGAGTAAGGAGTATGAATTGGATGCTGAACTAGCTATGCCCCTGCATCTTGGCTGTTCTAGCCATGGCAAGGATAGTGTTACGGCTACAATTTAGGAGGTGAACGAGGTTGCGAAGGTTGTATAATTGTCAAACTAGTGGCCAAGGCCCTAGCACTCTAGGAATCCGAGGCGCCAGGCCAGTGTGAGAAGGGAAAGGAAAGAGAAAAAACTTTGTTTATCCCTTTGATTATCCTCCACAGTCCATCCCTTTTTGGGGTGGAGTTACATCCAAATAAGCCTTTTTGGGGGTGTATTTATATCCTTGGGTGCCCCTTGTCTAAATAGAACTAGGAAGACAAGTTTGGATACAATCCGACTAGTCCTTCTAGTGTCCAAGTAGGACTTTGCTTCTCTTTCCTTATTCGGAATACCTTCCGTATATGAGGCTTGATTCCGTACAAGACTTGGTATATGGTGGGCCCCGTCGAGCCTAACACTAAAATATCAGGTATGCCTTATCCTCCCCTGGTTGTTCATTTGGACTTGGCCACTCATGCCAACCTTCTTGGTTTGCAACGTTGATGGACATGCTCTAGCGCATGTGCTGCACATGCACCCCGAGACGAGCCTTGGCCTTCGTGAATAGGAAGCAATGAACCTAACCAGAATCCACCAAGGATTGTGGTGTGGCAATCGAATCTCGAGCAGCATGCTTTTCCCATCCGAAGATAGACCAAAATGGGGGGAGGGGGGGGGGAGGGTCACCACTTGCTTCTTTACTCTGCTTTGGACTGAGTTTAGGCTTATGTAGGTGCCTGGGATTTGAAGGACGAGAGTGTACATATGGTGAAAATAGACGAACTATAGCTAAAAATACGGATTTAGTTCGGAGGGAGGTGGGAGGGGGGTTCACGACAGTGGTCGCTGCCACCGTGCTGCTGATTCCCCGGTCACAGCTTGGCTGTCCACCGCAATTGCACTGGCAGCCGACAATGTTAGTTTGGTCAACGATCATGACGCTGATGAAGTCGCTGACGTGCCCTTAGTCACGACGTGTGCAGTTGGTGGTTGTCTCCCCCAGATTGTCTAGCTTTTGATGACGGATGTCAATACTCATAACTTAGGGGATCACCAAGACCAATGATGAAGATTTGTTGCTGTTAGTCCGAAGTGAAACTGTGGCGCACCCCTTTCTGAGAAGTGTGGCCAGGATGGTTCGCCCTCCTCTTCCTCGAAGTGTATGTTCCAACATTGAGCATTGCCAATCATATGGTAAGAAGCCAGCCATAGAATGTCCTCCTCCATGACCTTGTGCCCATGGAGGAACTGCTCACATATCTTTAACAACGATAGTGGTTCCTGCTTGGCTGTCGAAGTCCAGGAACTCTGACTTGTTGACCGCAGAACACCACTACCACTGGTGCTCTGATCCATGTTTGGAACAAGAGACTCCTCTCCTGTACTGCTACCTGAGCCATGCTTGTCGATGTTTGGAAGGTGGAGAGCAACACCTGAGCCATGCTTGTCGATGTTTGGAAGGTGGAGATCGTGGCTCTCCAGTATTCGGTTAATGGTGGATAGATGCCCCCGGACTTCATCCATCTTTTGTGAAAGTGGAGCTCATGGTTGTCCTGTATGTAGATGATGGTGGACAACTAACCCAGGACTTCATCCATCTTGGCGAAGAGGGGTACCATGCCTTCAATTGTTAACATCGAGATGGTGGTGGCGAAAGAGTGCTCTGATACCAATATATTATGGATAGAATTTAGGTGGTGCATGAGGTTGCGAATGTTGTACGAGCGTCCAATAGGAGGCTTAGTCCCTAGTGCCCTAGGATGCTGAGGCACCAGCCGTGAGTGAGGACAAGGAATCATCATGCTGTGAACAACGTGCAAGGAAGGAGATAGTTTCTGCTTATTCCTTCTTTATTGTCCAATAGTACATCAAATTATAACCTAATTAATAGGAAATTACCAACTAGGGATATGACACACTAAAAGGAAACTTGATGGTGCACCCGGCGTGTTCTTGGACTGCTGCTTGCGACGGCGGTAAGTAATTATAACCCATGCCACATGGTTGAGGCCTTAACCCGTGCATTGAGGCCCCAATCACGTACACAATGGCCGCCCACTATTTGTAGGTCGGTTCAAGGGGCCAGCGAATGACCTTTTCTTAAACCAACTCTGAAAATTCACACCAGAGTTGAACCCATGAGCTAGTAGGTGCTACCATGCATAAAAGTGTAAATACTAGGCTGCATACCCATTCACAACGACGGTTGCCCATATTTTCTTGGAGGCATGCTTTAATGGGGATCTAACATGTGATCAACCGTGCACGGACGTGCTCCCCCCATCCCAACGCGCGGCTTCGCCCCCCTTCTCATATGGTTTTCAAGAAAGAATTTAATATATGTTTAGAAAAGAAAAAAAATACTAACAAAAGAAGAAAAAATCTGCTCAGACATATTCATGTGTATAAACTTTATACACATAAAATCTATGTGTATAAACATTCAATGAAGCTAAATTCGGTATGAGATATTTGAATCCATTTGTCAGACATTTAAAATTTGGTGTATAAACTTTATGTGTATAGACTTTGGGTGTATAAACTTTGATTGTATAAACTTTAGCTGTACAAACATTTCAAATAAGGAAAGCATGTGGAGCAAGAAAAGAAGGGGTGCCCAGAAAGAAAGGGCGACCTCCACACGCTGATACATGAGCATTGGCACGCCGAATTCGGGCTTCCTTGCCTTTGGTCGCCACCAAATAACAAAGAGAAAACCAATGTATGTCTAGAGTTTATTAAAAGGGATTGTTTAGATTCCTTGGGTGGCAATCCTATAGTTCTAATAAGTCCACTCTTAATTAATCAAAATAGAGTCTCTTTCATATGGATAAAAGGTCAAACAACAAATTCCAAACCTAAATATGACAAGCATTTTCAATTTCTAAAAATTTACAAAATTATATGTAGAAGTATTCAATAACTTGCAAAATCAAAAAAAAAGCAAGGATAATTCAGTATTTTGAAACATACGCACAATGACCTACAAATAAAAATATTCTTATTTCCTTTATAACAACAGACAATTTAATTTCGTTTATCTGAAACATTTTTCCTTCAATGGAAAAAGACGGAAGTTCATGATATAGTAGTTTCCGTCCTAGTTTTTATTGTGGACAATCTTGATTTGCATCTTAGCATTTAGCGTTCAAGTCAAGTAAACAGTACCAGTGCCTAGCAACACGAACATAAATAAAGAACCGAAGATACACTTCCATGACTATAAGTGGCACTTAATTTATTTAAGGAGAATAACATCATGAACTTGAAAAGATGGACATATAAGAGGATTAATAGCATGCAACAATAATAATAATGATGCACATATGGATTATAAAATAGTTAGACCGATTAAAAACATAAAATAGATATAGTGAATTGAATAGAGTAAAACTGCTGAATGATCACGCATAAAACAACTTCATGACACAATTACCTTAAAGATGGTAATAGCCCAAAGTCTTATCAGCGGTACTAGAACCCTTCAAACTTAAAGAACAAATCAAGTTCGAAACATATTACCTCTAGAATGAAAAAATTACCTCTAGAATGCTCAATATAAAATCTGAAAGCCCGAAAACCTGAATTCCGACAAACAAGCAAAACTATGTTTACTTATTATTCTGGTCATAACTTTTAAACCACTCAAATTATATATATTAATTTACAATGCACTATGTTGGCGAATGGCCTCACAAGTCCATGTAGGAGGCATCCTATCATGGAGGAGAGGGGAGGTGGAAGCAGTGGCTTGTAGTAGTGTCAGGGTACACTCACTGAGGCACATTCCTTTGGAGAATAAAACGATGCTCCACACCGCAGAGGAAACGGCATGGGGAGAGCTCAGTGAGGGCAAGCATCTCCAGGTGTTTGTCTCGTTGTTGGATCGGTACCTCAGACACGCAGCTGCTCACGTTGACACCATATCTGCACCATTGCTGGGCAAGTTTTTGCATCTGCATTGATATAAGGCTTATCGGCCGATCTCTTTGCCATATATGTGCCACAGCTGTCAAGCGTGACACACCACTGCAAGCTTATCGTCTGATATGTGCCATCAACATCGTCCTTCAGCCGAGCAGCCCTCGGCGCCACAGAGCTCATCAGCCCACTGCACAAACTCCATGGAGGGCTGCTCACGATCCGTCATCCGTGTTACCACAAGCCCTTCAATCGTGGGAGGGGACGGTGGAAGTGGGGAGGTGGTGGTGATTGGTGAAGAGTGATGACTCAAAGCTTTAAAGTAAATGAGGATGGCAGCATTCACAGTGAATGGAAGTAGTTGGAGGCGGAAGTGGCGATGGTGATTTGGGAGTAGAGGAGGACAACGACGGTCCAGACGTGTGAGGGTAGATGAGTATGCAGGGTTATGGTTAGGCTATGATAGTTTAAAAGAAAATTTCTTACCATATAAAACAGGAACCATGAGATGCTGAGCAGCGGTACAAGATTTGGAGCACAGCAAACTGGTTTGACAAACTTGGGACAACATATTTGAAGTAGTCAATCCTAGCAACTTGATCGTATCCTCCTCGCATGAATGTTTTCTCCTCGCACTCACTCGCTAATCAATGCCACAACATGGGCGGACTACTGCTATCCACACGTCTATGGGTGGAACGTTGTGTGCAGACACGTCTACCTACAGCTAGTGTTTGGCTCGTGAGTGCAGGGGCGGCTAGGGTTTATCATGATGGTTCATGTACTTGCATGTCTCATTTACCCCCTCAACCGTCGCCCTTGAATGAATAGAACTTCTAATTGGACCTCCAAGGACCATTAGGACGCTTACCTAGATCCCTATCCAATCAAGTCATTTCAATACATTAAATGTGTGACCCAATAGGTTCGTGTACACTCACTACATGTATCATAACAGACCTAGATACTTCCTTTATAGCAATCTAGTTACGTGCAGTAGCATTTGACAACCTAAAGTTAGCCAATATGCTTGTTGAGAATCATGATACCACCTATGATATACAATCAAGGAGGATTTAGAAATAGTAGCATATTAGATGAAGAGTATCACGAATAAGTCACATATTCATTGATCAATAGTAAGTCATCTATCTCAAGGAACACTTCATTATAATTCTAGACAAAGTATGTGAAACAATCATCTCAATGATTGCCTCTAGAGCATATCACTAATAAGGGACAACAATGTTGCTTGTGCTTTGGAGGAAATGGGGATGGTGATGGTGTTAGTGTGTAGGCGATTTGGGATCGGTGTCCAATGTGCGGTGAGCAGAGTAATTGTGTGAGGGAGATAGATGAGGGTGACGAAAATGTGATGCTTTTGACAATGGCCAGTGGGGCATGGGTAAGGAAATGGTACATGTATGATAGTAC